CTGTGTCCCACCAGGAGCACTCTTTCTGGAAGTCTCCTGAGCTCTCCCACTCATCCACTGCTCTTGATGCAAGCCTATCCCTGCAGGGCACAGCTGCTTCCCGAAGGGAATTCCTTTTTTTCTCTGGTCCCATCAGGAGCCTACTCTTTGTCTAGATCTATGGGCCATTCTCAGCTCTCATTTTCTCTAATGCATTTGATTTTCCTGACATTAGACGTTGGGTTACTCTTTGAGGATAAGGATTGTGTCATTTTCAGCCATGCAAACGCTCTGTACATATTTGTGAAATGAATGCGCATATCCTCCTTTTGAAGCTCTACCCTTGATATGATTTGCCCCTATGACCCTGTTTCTAGCCAGCCTTGTTCCCTAGTTCTTCTTCCTGCCTCCTAAACGTGCGTGTGCCCCAAAGTGCTGTTCCAAGTCTTCGCTCCATCTCCTGGGGTCTCCAGCCTCTTGTATGATATCATCTCTCACCACTGTGTCCCCAACACTATGTGCCTCTCTCCTCACCTCTGGGTCACTAGTTTGGTTCAACAGTCTACCTGAGTGTCTGCTGGAACCTCACCCTGTCCCCAGGTGAACTCACCAACGTGTTCTTCTACTTCTCTTCTTTTTCTCTTTTCTAATTCATGACATCATTCCAGTCCCCCAGACAGTGATTCTGACATCTAAGAAGACCCAGTTCCATGCTTATGTATTTTGTTGTGTGTTTATGTATCCTGGGATAGTGAGAACACATGTCCAAACCTCCTGCTTAACTCAGACACTTGCTTCTTCACGAACCATGCCCCCTGCCCCCAAGCAAAATAATTTCTCCTTCTGTGACCCTTCCTAGCACTTCCTTGTATGGCCATTTTTTTTTTTTTTTTGGACATTAGCTCCATTTTCCTTATCATGCTGAATATTGTCATTTGGGGAACATATCTCACCTCCTTACTGAGATTGTAAGCATCTGGAGGAAGCACTTATGTCTGAATTGATTGTAAATCCAGGCAAGGGCACGAGCCTACACCTTCTGAGGTGTAGAACCACATGAGGTAACTGGGAAAAGAAGCCTGACCAGTATCCCTTGTTCTCGAATCTTGCTGGTTAGATGGTGGCATCTCCCTCAGTGTTCCCTTAAAAGCCCTAGACCATCACTTCCGTTGTATTTAGAACAAAGTGTCCCCAAACTTTGTAAGTGAGGATGGTGTCTGCTCCTATACAATAGGGCCCCAGGCTTCAGGATGATACGGACTAGCTAGAATGACAAGCTGTCATTCATGGGAAGTTATAAAATTGGTCTACACTGATAATATTAATGGGTCCATTATTACTAGAAATCGCATTTATTGAATGTGGGCCTATGATGGGCTTTAGATGTAACATCTCGTTTTGTTTTTTGTTTTTAAAGATTTTATTTATTTATTTGAGACAGAGAGAATGAGAGACAGAGAGCATGAGAGGGAGGAGAGTCAGAGGGAGAAGCAGACTCCCCGCCAAGCAGGGAGCCAGATGCGGGACTTGATCCCGGGACTCCAGGATCAGGACCTGAGCCGAAGGCAGTCGCTTAACCAACTGAGCCACCCAGGCGCCCTGTGGGAGACAATATTTTATTTTATTTTATTTTATTTTATTTATTTATTTTTAAAGATTTTATTTATTTATTAGAGAGAGAGAGAGCACATGAGAGGGGGGAGGGGCAGAGGGAGAAGCAGACTCCCCGCCGAGCAGGGAGCTGGATGCGGGACTTGATCCCGGGACTCCAGGATCAGGACCTGAGCCGAAGGCAGTCACTTAACCGACTGAGCCACCCACGCGCCCGTAACATCTCGTTTTTTTGTTTGTTTGTTTGTTTGTTTTAGCAGCCATAGGGCTAGGACCAAATGATTAGGCATTTCTCCTTTATACTTTTCAAAGCCCTTTAATGTCCATATCTCAGTGGCCTTGAGCTGTAGAAGGCAGTGATAGTGAACCACACTGTATTTTGCCAACACTGTAAATGCTTGTCACTGCTCTCCACCCTCAGTGGAGTGTCCCAGTCATAACCACGGAACCAGTAAGGAAACCACTTGGCATTTAGACACAGTGACTGGTATGTCCAGGAGCTGCCATCCAGTTATCAGGCAGAGCCCCCCTGGGGTCCCAGATCACCCAGCAGCTAAAGGGTAACAGTGCCTGTGGGTGCTCTGGTGTAGTACTTAGCACTGAGCACTCAGGATATTCTCCCTGCACTTACGAAGATTCTCAAAATTCCTACCACCATTGCCAATCCTGGTGAATGGGCAGGTTTCCCACTATAGCATTCTGTGGGTGAGGTGCCCATGCGTGATCCATTGCCTTCCGTGGCACGTCCTTTCATCCCCTGCCCACCCACCCAGCACTCATGAGGAAAAGTGAAAACCCAAGCGGTCATGGCCTGCCCAACACTCTTGCTAGAATTCTTGTTCCAAGAAATTTAATGAACATATAGGAAAATCCAGCCAGCATTCAGTCAGTAGATGGTGTCTAGAAGCTGAAAGCCCATGTATTCGGTTATCCTTCCCTCACCGTGAATGAAGAAGCAGGGGGGTCCCCGCAGCCTGGCTTCTCCACCAGCCCCCTCGCCAATCCTGGGATGATGGCAAGTATTGGTGAAACCAGTTGGTGAAATCACCAACAATAAATAACTTCTCAAGGGTGTATAGTGCGCCAGGCATGCACCAAGAAAGCCCTTTGTGGTTTGAGCTCAGTGGTTCTCAAAGTGGTTCCCCATACTCCAGCATGGGCACCCCCTGGGTCTTGTTAGAAACACAAATATGCAGGCCCCACCCCCAACCTTCTGAAAATGGAATTGTGGGGGAGGGGCCCAGCAATCTGTTTCAGCATCCCCAAGTGGTGCCAATATGCCCTCCAGTTTGAGATCCATTGTTCTAGCATGTAGGCCTTTTCCCTTCTTGGGTGCAGCTTCCTCAGGTTCCCTGGGCTGCTCTGGAATCTCTGTCCACGTGCCCTGCACCTATGTGGTTGGAAAGAGGGAAAATTAATGCCAGCTACTCAAGGTTGAGCCTTTACCATGTGGCAGCGATAATTCTTGGCATTCTCTCTATAGTAACTCATTTGGTCCACACCACGGTGCTATGAGGTCCATACGGTGATTATCATACCCCTTCTGCCCAGGAGGAAATTGAGGCCTGAATTGATTGGCTAAATCTCCCAGGGCCACTCAGGTGATAAGTGGCAGCACTGGGTTCTGAACCCTAGGTGGCCTGATTCCAGTGTTGAATACCCAAGCACATGCTGCTCCTTATTAGAGTTTTATCCCCCTTTCCCACCCAGATTCCAGTTTTTTCCCCTTTCCAAACAAATACCACCCCCCCCCCCCCATATTAGTTTGCTTGGGCTGCCATAACCAAGGACAACAGACTGGGTGGCTTGAACAACAGAAATAACAACAGAAATTTATTTTCTCACAGTTCTGGAGACTAGAAGTCCAAGATCAGGGTGTGGGCAGGGTTGGTTTCTCCTGAGGTCTCTCCCCTCGGTGTGCAGATAGCCACCTCAATGTGTCCTCTTTGTGGGTGCCCCCCCACCAGTGTCTCCAAATTTCTTCTTGTAAGAACACCAGTCATACTGGATTAGGGCCACACTAACAACCTCGTTTTAAATTAATCACCTCTTTCAAGTCCCTCTCTGCAAATAGGATCACATTCTGAGGACCTGGGGGGTAGGGTTTTGACAGATTTTGGGGAGTGCACAGTGCAGCCCATCATGTTCCTATTCCCACACCATCTGTGCATAGGACTGACAGGAACCGTTCCATGTCTCCGTGCCTCGGAGACTCTCTCCTTCCCATCCAGCTACACACCCTGGCCTCTGTCTGCATTTCTTCCCGGGTCCCATGGCTGCACCATTCCCCGGGACAACACCCATGACCTAGAGAGCTCCACTTCTCCCTATGCTCAAATGTATGGCTTTAATTTCCCAAGGTTGCTGTGTATAACTAAGAAGTGAGGGTTCTACATGGCATCTATAAATACAACCTTTTTGGGTTTCTCTCGAGTGAAGTCAGAGGTAAAAGTGTCTCTTAAAGTATGGTTTGTGGCCTGCTTGCATGCTCCCAAGCCCCATGAGTGACCCATAGCCTGCTCTCCAAGGGTGGATCCTTGCAGGGCGCAGATCTGTGAATCCCCTTCCTGGAAACCCTCCCTCTCCTCCTCCATCTGGTGATTCTCATGTACAGAGAGGGGTCAACCATCCTGTCTATGGCATTAGACATAGACACAGTTCGTGTTTTAGTCCTTCCATTACTTGATGTGTGACCTTGGGACAGGTTAGCCTCCCCAAGATTGTTTCTTCCATTTGCAAAGTGGAATGAATCAAGCTAATTAATGGAATTAATCTAACTCCCTCTTAGGTTGCTGTAAGGACTAAATTAGATCATATAAATAACGCAGTGTATACCACCTGCTTATTGCAGAAGGGTGGGTGTTCGGGTGTTCGATCTCTGGAAGAGCAGCATTTCTGCAACTAGGCAAAGATTGCTTTGTTAAACTAAGACCACAGTAACAACCTTGTTAACTGTGCATCTGGTGCATGACTATGGGTCTGGACCACCCAGGACATGTACTCTAAGAACCAGTGTATGTGCTGATGGGAAAACTGATAAAGAAGTTGAATAATGGGATACAGGGGACAGTGGGAGGGCAGGAATGCTGGCCTAGAAAGGAGGAAAGGCCACAAAGAAAAGCAACCTCAAAAGACATCTGTGGGCCTGTAGCAGCCAGAACGTAAAAGCCAGATGTGGATTCTGTCCAGCTGTATACCTTGGACGTGGGACGAACGTTGCTGTTCTGGGTTGGTGTGTCAGCAATGTCTTCTTATTCTCACGCTGACCTAGTTGTCTCTTCTACTAAAATTACTGACATGCCAACTTTTCTGCTCTCTAAACTCCCTGAAGATCTGTTGGCATTGCAGTGGGTTGGACACCCTGGTGAAATGACATGTTTATGGACCTTCTTGCATTTTTTCATTTGTAGAGGAGCTGAAGGCCCCCTTGGAGGAGTATGTCCACAAACGCTACCCTGGGCTGGTGAAGGTGGTGCGCAATCAAAAAAGAGAGGGCCTGATCCGAGCTCGCATCGAGGGCTGGAAGGTGGCCACGGGCCAGGTCACTGGCTTCTTTGATGCCCACGTGGAATTCACCGCTGGCTGGTAGGTCACAAGCTGGACCCCAGGGGCACTGAGGAACCGCAGTAATGTGGTCAGGAGGAGTTAGAATCTGGGAGGTGGAAACTTTGCCTGTTTCCTCTGGGGCTACTAGAACAATGGAGAAGGGTTGGTTGATAATCTAGGATAAGACTGGGAGGCGGGGAAAAATTTGCTGTTTTACTCTGTTCTTCATTGTTGTGGTCATCACCATCACCATCATCATCAAAGTTCCCAGTGAAAATGACATATTAAATGGACAGAACTCAAGATAATCCTTGTTAAGGGGACAAGATAGCCATATTTGTTCTCTTCTCCCACTTGCCTTTCCCTTGTTTGAGGAGGATGGTTGGGTGCTATCTGGAGGAAAGAGATCCATTTATAATTCTACCTATGCAGGGAAAGCCTCCTGGAACCCATGGGATTATCTGTAACATCATTTGTAGGGAGGGAAGAGTTTATCTCTGCAGATGTGGCCCCCAGTGGTTTCCCAGGTGGTGAAAAGAACAATCTGGGAGAAATTGGGGGGAGAGGCACAGGGAGAGGAGGAGACATAGGATGCAAGAATAGTAAAGCATCAAAATGCCCAAATCACTCAATGAGCATACTGACATTGGTTTAGGACTTGACAGCTGAAAAGCACGGTCAGGTGGTTGTTGCTGATTACCCAGTGATAAATCAGAGGTTAAGTAACCTGTGCTCAGTTTGCTTAATTACTAAGAAGCAGAGTCTTTAATTTCACAAATCATGTTTGTAACATGTGTCAACTCACTGGTACCATCTTGAATAAATGTTGTTCATGGTACCAGATTGGAAGAGCCACTATCCCATTACCAATGAAACATTAAAACATCTGTTCTTCTTCATTTGCAACATACTTTAGAATCTCTTTAGAATCTCCCCTAAGCTTCAGAGTTGTTAATCTCTCATAAATGGTCTCAAAATGTGGTCCCCAGACCAGTAGTAGCATCTGGGAACTTGTTTGAGATGCAGATTCTTGGGCTTCCCCCAAGACCTCTGAAATCAGAAGCTCTGGGGGTGAGTCCAGCAATCTATTTTAACCAGCCCTCCAGGTTAACTCTGATGCTCACTCAAGTTTGAGAATGGTTGAGCTGGAAGCCTTCTGAACAGATGCACTCCAATGATCCATTGGAACTTTTTGCCTTTTTTGCCATATCCTTACCTCCCTGTTTCTTCTCTGTCAAAACTGGTGGCTCTACCCATGTCCCCTTTCACTTGATTCTTCCCTCCCCATCATGTCACTCATCCAATCAATCTCTAGCTCTCATCAACCTCTAGCTCTAGCTGGTTTCCCCTTCTATTTTGCATGTCTGCCCTTTGCCTTGACCTCCACTAATGCACCTCACACCTTCATCATCATGCACCTAAACTAACCCAGTGGCTGCTTGAATTATCTGTTTGACAAATATTTGCTGGATGCCTGCCACTGTCCCAAACACTGTCCTAAGCCAGGGGTGGAGTCACCAACTGTTCAGATCTGCCTAGTGCTGAGGGATTTCCCAAAATGCAGGACTTTCAGTGGTAAAACCGGAACAGTCCTGGGCAAACTGGGACAGGTGGTCACTTAGCTGGGGTTCAGAATCTGGCAGGATTTGCTGTCTGTCCTCAGGTAGCCCATAGTCTAACTGGCCTCTGTGCTACCTTAGGCCATCACACTCAATTTCCACCACCAGAGTGACAGATGTCCCTTGTGGTGACTTGTTACAAGGTAGACACTATGTCTCAACTTTCACTGGGTTATACTGCAGTCATAATCTCCAACTTCAGTGATTTATGACAGCAAAGATTTTCATCTTGTCTGTGGGGCAGGTCAGCTGCTGGTCCTCTGTCTGTAACTCTGCTCCACATATCCTCCACATCCTGAGACCCTGAGGAGGTTTTTGTTGTAACTTAAGGTACCTTGCGAAAGTCAATGGAATTGGTCATAGCAACTTTTAGAACTGGCGTTAGTTTTGCAATATTAGCTGAAACGTAGCACAGAGAAGACAGGACTTTTTTTTAAAGATTTTATTTATTTATTTGATATATATAGAGAGAGCACAAGCAGGGGGAGTTGCAATCAGAGGGAGAGGGAGAAGCAGGTTCCCGCTGAACAGGGAGCCTGATGTGGGACTCGATCCCAGGACCCTGAGATCATGACCTGAGCCAAAGGCAGATGCTCAACCAACTGAGCCACCCAGGTGCCCCAAGACAGGACATTTGAGTTCATTTGCTTATAATCTGGAACTTTAAAACAGCTTAAATTGTACAGTTTACACACATGGTCACTTAGGTAAAATCCTTCTGAGACTATGTCCTTTTTGTTTAAAAAAATTGGAATTTGTTCTCCCTTCTTGGAAGGGAACATTGATACTTAACAGTCTTTAGACTGTCATTTCATGTACATAAAATGGAAATCCAGCTAGAAGAGACCATGTAGGAAATGAGTAGTGATGTATTTTATTTTATATGCCAATCTACTTTATTGTGAAAAGATTAGAGATTTGATTCAGGACTTGTGGAAACTTGTAGTAAAATGCCTTAAGCTGTTAACTGTAAGGTATGAAATAGGAATTGCTCAGTGGGTTGGTTGGACTACTTAAGTCTACATTTGTTAACAGGGCTAATAAACAGTATTAAAACAACCACCTGAAGAACACCCAAATTTAAAAAAATACAATCTGTAGATTAACAGTCGGATCATTGCTAAAATGAGGCTGTTTTTACTTATTTGATGTAGCCATATTAGCATCCTAGATAGGCTAAAATTCTCCCCGTTTTTCAAATCCAGGAATTTCAGTTATAGGTTATAGGTCTGGGGAACATAAGAGAATTGTATTGTTCTCTAAAACCACGATTAGGTGGTGGGCATTTCTCGACAAGACCATTTAGTGCCACCCAAGGGTGTGAGTGACCCAGCGCCATAGCTCGCAAGTCCTGAGCAAGGTCATGGCCGCCCCACGCAGGGTCGACTGGGGCGGGGCCGGCGTAACAGGTCACGTGGCGACGTGCATGCGTCTCAGAGAATCGGAGATGAGCCTGATTATTCTTTGCTCTCTTTCACTGAAGATGCGCTTCTGGCTTGAAGCTGCACAAACGGCAGTGCGCAGACAATTTAAAATCATCAAGTGCAACGCAATATTGAAATGAGAGACACACGTCCTGTCTCTGCAGTCTGAGGTGACAGGAAGCTGGACTCTGTCGAGGACATCCCATTTTTGTGGCTCGGGACCGGCTCTGCCAGGTTCTGCGCCGGTGTGACGTCATCTCGTTTGCTCACACCCCATTGGCCAGAGCAGGTCACATGATAACGGGTTGCGGGCGGGAGTGCGCCGCTCCCCCGGAAGCACAGCGGGCTGCCTGGTGGAAGGTGGGGGTGTCTCCAGGGACGGGAGAAAACAGCTGGGAATAGGTGTATCTTCCCTCGCAGACTGGGAGGTCACACTCCGCAGCATCAGAAGCGTTAGTGGCACGAAGCTCTTCTGTCCCCATGCTTAGAAGTTCACCACAGTGACGGGTGACTGAGTGCTTCTAAACGGCAGGCCACCAGACCAGCCAGGGGGAGCCTGGCTCCATCAATGACACAGTGGAGCTTATGGGTCAGGCGTGAAGCCAGACCATCGGGGTTAGAACCCGGCTCTGCCACCAGCTGGCTGTGTGGCCCCGGGGCAAGCCACTTAACCTCCTTTGTCAAACGCTGATCATACTCTCTACCTCCTAGGACCATTGTGAGAATGTTTAGAATGGTGCCTAGCCCGTAGTAAGTGCTCCATAAATATCAGCTTCCGTTAGCCCATAAGGAAAAATAGTGTGTGTTCCAAGATTAGCACAGACAGCTTATAGCCAGAGTGACTTGATGAGGTGCAGAAGACGGTCCAAGAGCTGAGAGGAGGGAGAGAACCTTCCTACCAGGAGAAATCAAGGAAGGCTTCTTGGGAGAGGTGGCACTTGATCTGGTAAGACTCCATAGGTAACTAGACTTCCTGCCAGTTGCCAAGGGCATTCCTCCAAGGAGGAGAACAGCAGGAGCAGGTACTTGGAGGGGTGAAGCTCAGAAGTGTATCTGGAAGCTATGGCGAGTCAGTCCCACTTGGCTTCAGCCTATATGATGTGTGCAAAAGCACTGGAGGCGGTAAATGGCCCAGGGTATATTTTATTGCTCGTTTTAAATAGAAAGATGAGATGAGCCAACAGGTAATTCAATAGCTGGATATGAAAAGAGATGGGAGGCAGGCCGAGCGTTCTCATTGTTCTTCCAAATAATGCAGAGGAATGGGGTTTTCACTTGACTCTTTTCCAAAGCCTGAGCTCTGTTCTAAGCAGGGAGATTAATGCCCTGGCTTATGAGAACCATCTCTTCCTTCTCGAATCTGGGAAACAATCCTTTCCTACGTCTGCCTTGGAGACACACACTGGTGGGGGAGTCTGACCATCTGCTTTCTCCTAAGCGGGCAGGGCTGCACCTTGAACCCCGAGCCAGGTCCGTGCCTGTCCCCCGCTGCAGCTGTGGGGGGCAGGCTCGCTGGCAGGCAGGATTCTGCTTGCCTTTGCATTTAATTAGTTCTCTCCTGCCATTGCTAACCAATTCAATTAGATCCCTTTTAAGAAATCAATTAAATAATCAATTAAAACAACTGAAATAGTCACACACACCGAGAAGCTAGCGAAATGCTTATTAAAACCAGGCCATCAAGGGCAGGAGTGACCCATTTTGGGAGAGAAAATTCAGCTCCTGCAGAAGAAACAAGAGGCATCAACCAGTGCCCGAGGGGAAATGGCAAACACTGGGAAGCCTGAGTGCAGTGCGAAGCGCAGAACCGCTTGGAGTCAGCCGGGCTTGCCTTGGCTTACGCTGTCAGCACAAAATAGAGGCCTGGGGCTTTCTGGGGGAGAGGCCCCCACGCTCTGAATTCTTGCTCCCGGCCCCTCGGGCCCAGGCAACAACGCCGTAGGATCCCCCCGGGGTCCAGGGTGTGGGCCACACTGCACCCCCATACAGAGCATGCTCACAGAGGCACGATCCACCCCAGGGCAGGTGGCTCAGGTGCCTCAGTTTCCACCTGAGGCCCAGCCCACCCAGGGCCCCCCCTTTAGCCAGGTCGCTTCTGTTCATTCTCCGTGGTGTGGGGGTCTTGCCAGTGGAGGGGTGGGCGTGCCGCAGGAGAGAGATTTGACTTCTCCTTCCATGTGTTTCAGGGCCGAGCCAGTTCTGTCCCGAATCCAGGAGAACCGGAAGCGAGTGATCCTTCCGTCCATCGACAACATCAAACAGGACACCTTTGAGGTGCAGCGGTACGAGAACTCGGCCCACGGCTACAGCTGGGAGCTGTGGTGCATGTACATCAGCCCCCCGAAAGACTGGTGGGACGCCGGAGACCCCTCTCTCCCCATCAGGTCAGTGGCAGGCAAGCTCTGGAGGCCATCGCGTCCCCAGATCCCAGGGACACAGGAACCTGGAGGGAGGGAGGGTAGGAGAGGCCGCCTGGGGCAGACCAGGAGTGGACAAAAGCTGCTTGGGGACTTCACTGGGTCTTAGCATCAGAGATTTCTTGCTGAGGAAAGATACCGCATTTTGCTTCTTTAGCTAAAGTTTTCAAGTGCAGCTTACCAAACAGTGATACTGAAAGATCGAAATGTTGGGAATGTCCACCTCCTTTTGTTTGTGCTCCTATCTGATGGGCTGTGTTCAGGAGCTTGCCCTGTGGTGTTTGAGAGGTGCTCATTCCTGTGGCCCTGTCATACCTGTAACTTTGCCTCCCCTTCCCATGATGCAGGAACACAGAGAAAAGAACGATATTTGTGTGACCCCGGGGGCACCTGGAGGGCCTTTGGGCAGCTGTGTATGACTCTTGCCCACGTCCTACCCTGCTGCCCCCAGAGATGAGTGGATCACGACCCCAGAGCGCACCAGCTGGGAAGCTCTCCTATAAGGGAGGTTGAGTAAAGTGGGTTAATTTTGATGCCATATTCCCATGGCTGCTATAACAAATTACTACCAGCGTGGTGGCTGGAAGCAACGCAGAGGTATTCTCTTACATTCCGAAGGTCAGAAGTCTGGAATGAGCTTCACAGAGCTAAACTCAAGGTGTGCTCAGTGGCGGGGGTCCTTCTGGAGGTTGTAGGGGAGAATCCATTTCCGTGCCTTTTCCAGCTTCTAGAAGTCCTCATTCCTTGGTTTGTGGCTACATCACATCCCTCTTCCTCCTCTTCCTTCATCACACGCCCTTCTTCCCCCTCTGACTTTCTTGCCTCCCGTGTGATGGGCCCTTGTGATAACATTTACAGTCTGTGTGCATAATCAAAGATAATCCTCTGGCCCATGATGAATCCCATCTGCAAAGCCCTTTTTCCCATGTTGGGTAACATTTACAGGTTCCAGAGATTAGGATGTGGATTTGTTTGAGGGGAGGGGGCATTGTTCAGCCCATACAGGTGCTCTGATTTTTAACCACGATGGTAGCTGAGTTATCGTCCAATACTTCCTGTGAGTTCTGCTCAAGGGCCAAAGTGACTTAAAATCTTCAGGGTTCTGCCTTAAGTTAGAAGAGGTGGAAGAAGCTTTCTTACCTTGGCCTAGTTTTCGGGCAGTGTTGGTATAAAGGAGGATGGCAAGAAGGAACTGTGGAATAGGATGAGGACTTTCTGCAGATAGTTTTTTTTTTAAAAAGATTTTATTTATTTATTTATTTGAGACAGAGAGAATGAGAGAGAGAGAGAGAGAGAACACATGAGAGGGGGGAGGGGCAGAAGGAGAAGCAGACTCCCCGCTGAGCAGGGAGCCCGATGCGGGACTCGATCCCGGGGCTCCAGGATCATGACCTGAGCCGAAGGCAGTCGCTTAACCAACTGAGCCACCCAGGCGCCCGTCTGCAGGTAGTTTTGAAGTTCATAGTCGTTGCATTTTAAATAACTAAGATGCCTCATGTTCCCTTATCTTCCTGCTCAAGTTGAAAGCTGAGGAACTGATTACGTTAGAGTAGAGCTGCTCATGGGCAGATGTGTGCAACAAGGAAGGTGATGTGTTGGGCCAGTAACGTCCTCCACCAGAGATGCCTTGTGACTCAGTTTCCATCCCAATCTCGATGTGCGATGGATCATTGTGGGCAATGCTGCAGGACCACACTCTTGGCTCCTTGCAAATAATAACATGGACTCATCACTAAGGTGTCACCTGAGAAGCAAAGCATAACGTTTGGGATATTTAAATTTAACAAGTGGGATACCACCTGACATCCATTAGGATGGCTACTATCAAACAAACAAACAAAAAAGGCAGAAAGGAACAAGTGTTGGCAAGGATGTGGAGAAATTGGAATCCTCGAGCTTTGCTCGTAGAAATACCAAATCATGCAGCTGCTATGGAAAACAGTATGACAGTTCCTCAAAAATTTAAAAAATAGAATTACCATGTGATCCAGCAATTTCACGTCTGGATACAGACACAAAAAGAGTTGAAAGTAGGCACTCAGAGATATTTGCACACCCATGTTCATAGCAGCATTATTCACAATAGCCAAGAGGTGGAAGTAACCCAAATGGCCACCAACAGATGGATGGGTGGATAAAACGTGGGGTATACATACAGTGGAATAGCATTCAGCCTTAAAAAAGAAGGAAGTTCCGACATATGCTACGGCATGGATGAACCTTGGGGACCTTACGCCAAGTGAAATAAACCAGTCACCAAAGACAAATACTATATGATTCCACTCATATGAGGTACCTAAAACGGCCAAATGTATGGAGACAGAAGAATGGTAGTTGGCAGGTGCTGGGGAGAAGAGAGGCATAGGGAAATGTTACTTGATGGTGTAGAGTTTCAGTTTTAGAAGATGAAATGCTTTCTGGAGATCGGTTGCATAATAACATGAATGAAATTAACGCTGCTGAACTGAACACACATAGTGCTTCCTCCCTGACCCACAGGGGGGCTGACCTCCAGCCATGACAGACATGGGAATGGGGGTGTGACAGTGGTGTTAGCCACAGAGGGAAAGTAGTGGGTACAGTGCCTTGCTGTAAGATGCCCAGAAAACATAGCTATTCCTACGTATGAAAGGCACTAAGCAAAAATTTAGCTTGTATTTTATGAGTTACGGTAATATTAACAGATGATTAATATGCACTTTGAAAAGACTCAAAAAAATAGAGTCATGATCATGAGTCATTAATATTACATGTATCTCTGATGTACAAAACAATCAAATACCAATGATCTCTTTTTAATGTATCATAACTTATGAAATGCTTAATTTGTTAATAGTGGATGGAGCTATTAATTATAGGATGGAGTTTTTATGGCCTTTCTGATGTTATTATGCAGATACACTATGATTTCTTAAATGTTAGGACATGGTCGTTTCCACTCCCCACTGTGCTCCTAATATTTTAATAGTAATGATTTTATTTTGGTGAAGGATGGGATGGGGAGAACATTTTCACAATCCAAATGGCATTTGACTGGATGAGGCTACTGTAGATACTGAGTCTTCCCAGTAGACAACATAATATAGGAGATTTTGCATTAAGAAAATTTGTATCCTTAAAAAAAAGGAAAATGTATATCCTTTCTGTTTACTTCTTTCCCTTTTTCTTCCTATATATATATATTTTTTTCTCCTGCCTGGTAAATAGTTTATTTGCCATGGTTTTCCATTTGTTCTCTGCTCTTTGTCTCTCCCAGAGCTTCTGGAGTGGAGAGTGGGCAGGTGCCATGAAAGACAGCAGAGTCCAAGTATAAGGGGGGAGGGCACGGGGAACTGAAGAATACATCCCCCCCCCAAGGAGGCAGCCGCTATCAGCCCTGGGTGACAGTGCTGGGGTGGGGGGACCCAGGGCTGGTGTTTATTGGGTCCTCAGAGTTTGAAGAGAAGACACAAATCCAGATCATTCCATGAAATCGCCTGACTTCTAAATATTGGCCAAAAAAATCCCTCTTCTTTAAAGCTTTGAGAGAGACCTCTGTCATTCCCAGGACAGCTGAGGCCCCTGCTTCTCACACTGGGAGCTCTGGGCACCCGCGCTATGTGGCGTTCCTGCGGGACTGGGGGATTTGGGGAAAGGGTTACTCAGAGCCACAGGAGAAGCATAGTTAGACTTAGTGGAGCTTGAGTTAAGCCAAGTTTCCCCTGTCGCCTCCATTGTGTGTCACTGCCCTCTACTGCTGAGATTCTTCTTTGAAAGACTCTGAGGAGTCCTGACCCCACTCTCGCCTCTCAGAGAAGGGTCTCACATCTATGTCTTAAGCCCTGATTTTTCTCCAGAGTGACATCATGTCCAATGTCACATCAGTAACGTTTCTGAGTCAAGGACCTCTTGGGTAACCTAATGAAAGGCATAGATCGTATCAACCCTGAACATGTCCAAGTGGAGGACAGAACTTTGCATATAATTTCATGAAGTTTATGAATACCTTAATGATTCATAGGGCTTATATTAAGAACCACTGCTAGGTGTTTCTACTTGCCTCTCCCAAATGGAGAGCCTCTCTTCACCATCTTTATCGCCCACTAGACCATATGCTTTATGAAGCCAGGATTGTGGCTAGTTCATGGTTGTAGCCCCCGTGCCTAATTACTCCCTGGCCCTTAGTAGTTTGCTGGAAATCTTTAGCGAATGAACGAATGGATGAGTGACATTTGAGGCCCTGAAGAGAGGTCAGGGCTAGCGATTAGAAAAAGAGTGAGAGTGCCCAGAGGTCCATTAGAGAAAGACAAGGAGAACCCCATTATTTCTGGGATGGAGGGAGCCTTTATAAGGGAGACTGACAAGTCTCGATGAATGGTCAGAGAGATATGAGGACAATCAGTGGAGTAAGAGGTTTAAATACAGGAAGACCCAAAGCACCATTGGATTTAAGGGATCAGCTCATCATAGCCTTGGTGAAACCATTTTAAGGGAGCATTTGGGTCTGAAGCTAATTGGCAGTTGGTGGAAGGACAAATGGGACATGAAGAAGTTGGAAAAGTGAGTGAGGTGTTTGGGGCAGACTCAGCTTGGAGAGGTGAGGGGTAGAAACTGTGGAGGAGGATGAATAAAGATCAAGTGATATGTTTTTAGGAATGGGAGAGACTGAGCCTGCACCTCCAGGGCACTGAGTAAGTAGAACGCATGGGGTATATTGGCTGGGTCAGTCAGTAGACCATGCGACTCTTAATCTCGGGGTCATGAGTTTGAGCCCCACATTGGGCACAGAGATTACTTATTGATAAAACCCCAACTGTCTTGGTTTCCTCCTTGCTCAGTGCAATGAGCCCTTCCCTTGCCCCAACGAAAACCCCAGTAGACCTCATGATGTTTCTTATCACTCTTGGGTAATGTAAGTCCTAGGGTCACTTTAAGTCACAAATCAGCCTCAGTCCATTATGGAAATTGTCCCATCTCATGTCCTCATA